AACTGATAATGCAAGAGAGAATACAATTCTAGAAAAAGCCTTTGCAGGGAGAAGGCTTAGAATTCGTTGCATAAGTAGGGAAGTTAGCTTTTGATAGAAGACCCATCAAACTACAAGGCGGTGTGTGTAATAGGCAGGTAGTTTGATAGATTCGTGGTAGAAAGGTAAGAATGTTACTATGTGGGTAGTTTCATTTTACCAAAAGGAGATAAAACTCAATATGGGCATGGGAAGGGAATATAGATTAGAGAAGAAAGGTGTATTTGGCAAGGGAAAAAATGAATATATATGAATATATATATGCGCGCGCACACATTTACATGTGTATTACATACACATAATCAATGAATATTTGTGTGTATGTTATACATGATGGTAAAAAAAAGACCTATTGTACAAAGTATTTTAAAGCCATTTTTACTAAACATTTTTGAGACATCTTATTTGGAAGATCTGAAACTGAATTCTGTGCTTTCCAAGGACTCTGATACAGTCTTCTTTTTCATATGTAGAGAAGTGATGACTTCTCAATGCCATATATCCTTTTCATGTTTTGTTATTTATTTTGTCTATTACAGAGTAAAAGGCAGAAATATTTTGTAGCTATTGTGTTATAATTCAAAGCCTATGAAAATTAAAATTAGTTTAATCCTGAAAGATGTGTATTGTATACTCAAGCTGTTAGTTTCTTAAAACGCTATTTTGGAGGGTTTGAGCCCCCATCTGATTTTTTTTAAAAAAAAGACAATCAGGCTCTAATTGTTCATTAAAACAATACTTTTTTGTTTGTTTTCACATGACATGAAAAACACCAATACCATCTGTCATTTAGGAAAAACAAATGGGCAATATGGCTGTCCTGTTAATGAGCACCCCCTATCTATAGGAATGATGTGTGATCTTCTCATTGTGCATGGAGCTTTATTTCTGGATAGGCTATATGTAATTCAATGTGTTGGAATTTATAGGTGCATATTTATTCCTTGGATCTATTGTAAAATTAGATTGTGAACAATGGAATAAGACTGCTCTCCTTTTTTTTTCAGTTTTAGTATAGCCAAAAATATAAAGATATATATGTACATATAAATATGTATTTGATTAAACGTTTAATATTTAAATGGCTATTTCAAATATTAAATGGCAGATGTCGACAGCTGCAGTGTATTCAAAATAGTTATAAAAATCTTTACAGCACAAATCCTAAAAAGTTTATTAATACTAAATAGTACATTTATACAAGATACCTAGGTAACATCTAAGACATTTAATCCCTCATAGAGCAATATTTGACTAATAAAAAACTGCAGTCGAAAACATTTTTCCTCCCTATAAGTATGAATGTGATTTTTAAAATCTCTTTGTAACCTGTCATAAAGTTATGTATTACTAATTATGGATTTAGCACTGTACCATCTACTCTAGAAAAAGTGGGGGAAAGATCTGTTTGTGAGAATAAAAAAGTGCAGCACTGTATTATTTTTTTTCTCTTTGGTATTACATCACTATTTAGAGCTTCTATATTTGCCTTCCACTCAGGTCCCTGACACAGTCCATGTTCCCTTTTCTGGTTGTATCACAATGTGGTAGAGAGATAAATACAGTAAAAGGGTGTTAACAATAGAACTGCAATCCTACCTATTATCTACTTTACTATAACAGTGAAGTAGTCCATACTTACTTGAAGGTGGTATTGTTTTCATCTTATAAAAATCTACTGTAATATTATGATATTCCATGTAAATTTTCATGTGCTGGCATGCTTACAAGTTAATAGTGTTAGAGAATGCTCAGCTCTCAATGAGGGATTGTGGTGTATTGCATTACATATGTCATCTATTTGCTGAAAGAATATGGTGTTTAGCAAAACTACCTGCTGAGCAACATAATAAGATTTTTGTACAAAGTACAAATTACTAATTATTGTATTTTATTTTTCTATGATTTCCTAAGAGGCATTATCAGGGTCTTACAGATGGAGTAAGCCTGTTTATTAAAATATCTATTAGCAAATAAAAGTTACAGTTCTGGTGGTTGAATTTGTGACTTTTTTTACTGTATTGATGCATACTTAATATAATTTATTTTTTTTAATGTCTATTAAATCTAGATGCTCTTTAGATACATTAGTAATTCTGGACACAAAATCATAGGTGTACTTTTTCAAAATAATATCATTAAGGTCAAGACAAATTCACATAAATTGATATAAATAATTGGTACATATTTTTGTAGTGATTTTATATAGGCGAAATGTTTTTTGCTAGATTCAAGTAAATTATTGTTCAGTGCAGAGGCACTACCTGTATAAAAATTGCAGATGACCAAAAGATACCTGCTCAAACAGCTTTAGACCATCAACATTCATTCCAAAACCTTCCAATAAATTACAAATCACGATTTCCTATATTAGTTTTAAAGTTTCTGGTAAGAAAATACATAAAAAGTATCATGAATTAATCAGAATAGTGCTGTATTCATCATCTCCCACTTTTATAATTCTTCTACTACAGTTCCAAAAGCCAGTATGAGATTTAAACTTCCAGTTAAGTACCTGAAACTTTCTTCCCTTATACAGGTATCTTAAGTAGCCTTCAGAAATCACATACCATTTTTGTAGCTGCTAAATGTCGTAACAAAATGAAGAGAGAAAAACTAACTTCTTAAATCAAGTTGGAGCAATTTTTACGCTGAGCCTTGAGTGTACCCTTGAGAGCTGTTTCAGTTGCAAAGCACCAAACCAGCAGATTCAACATATGAAATATTTATTGAGGTTGACATTTTCAAAACTGGCATTTTCTAGATTATTGAGTAGATTGTGACTATTTTTTGGTAAAATAATTATGTATCTGCCTAAATTTACTGAAAAGTTAGATATCTATTTTCCCCATTATATTTCTAGTTTTCACCAAATGCTTTGTATCAACCAAAAATAGAACTCAACCTAGGGGCAGACTATATCAACTCCAAGCAGGAAAAATTAAGTCTGCCCACTAAAGTTTTCTAAAACATAAGATTTCTGCCTATCTCTAAGGAAAAAAGAAATCAAATTATGGCTATAAGCAAATTAGCTTCCATCTCTTATCAAAGTGAGTCATAATGCCCAGACACACATGGCCAGAAGTTAAAGAACCACCACATTTTAAAATCCTATCCATATAATAAAAATTTCAGGACAAAGGAAGATGAAATTATTTATTGAACACCTACTATGTGCCAAACATATATACTTTTGTTATCCTTTCCTCAAAGTCAGTTCTTTTGGATATGCAACTATATAAGGGTTTTGTTTTGTGTTAGTTTTTGCATTTCAACAGTCACTAGCCCAGAACCACTTTTTTTCACTGTAAAAATAACCACATTTGAAAATTTGGAAAAGTAACCAAAAAATGCAGCCCATAATCATACACGTATAACCCTCCCCTCCCCCCATCATTATTTTTGTATAATTCCTTCTAGTCTCTTTTCTCACCCTCCATTTAATAGGCCAAATTAATTCCTAAGCCAAGGAGCAGGTGTGGTAGTAAACACGACACTAGGTCATGGGAGGGGGAATAAGTCCTATACTTATGGCAGCAAGTGAGAAATGGAAACCCTCTGAAGAACGTCGAAGTCATGAACGCCATGCATCGGGAGGGAGGCTGGCGTGTGCAGGAAGATTGAAAGGTGCCCCCCCCCCCAAAAAAAAAGGAAAAAAATAAATCCTAGTTCTTTAAACTTATTGCATCTGCAGTCTCAGCTTTGGAAAGCGTCGGGACAAAAATGTGGGGAAAGCGTGTGAGAGTATT